GTAGAAGCAGCGACAAAGCAATTTAGTTTCCAAGCGTTTACTACAGCACTATCTAAACACTGTACCCATAATGGCCACCACCCCTTTTTGCTTCTATTCCCGATACGATAGTTAACAACTCCATTGTCATATAAATCGACGCCGCCCATGTGTCGGTAGTAGCTGTTGATAACTTGAGGCTGCGGGACACCAACCATTTTTTTCTCTCTGCTATAGCGTTGCACATTTAGTATGGATTCAACGGAATCATACAGTATGTTGCAATAAATAATCACAATGGCTCAATAATTCCTTTACAACAAATGCACCGATTTCCAATGGTTTGTTGTATTTGTGAGTTGCACTGGAGCATGACAGAAACTGGAAGATATACCCATTATCCAAAAAAGGGTTCATACCTTATAACCGAAACGTATTGGTTTTATAAGTTCCGATGTGAATAGTTGCGACTTAGGCATTTCTACAATACCACCACAATCTTGTGCATTTGATTCGTAAACACCTTCAATAGTACCTAAATACCATCTCACAATTAGATACACGGAATTCAAAAGAGGAGAACAAAATTTTAAAGTTGTGTGTAATGTTTGTTGATATTTTATGATCGTTAATAATTTTATTGTCCGATTCCCCAGCAACATTATCAGGTGGCAAACATTATTATTCAATAAGTAACGGAGTGTTACTTGGCACTAATGACTCATGTTTGCTCCAATTGTCAGTAATATGCAATTGTTCCTGATTTTTTAGATATCTTAGGAACGATATAATAATTTATTTACAGTAAAAAATTAAAGACAGAACTTTTAGAATGAACAACTGTAAGCCCTATATAAAACGATCAAATTCAGACTAACTCAACCAGCAATTAAAAATCAAAATAGATTTAATACTATTATGCATAGTAAAAAACACAAGTTTAAGTAGATCAGAAGAGTATGATATTCATTAGAGAGATTACTCTCATGTTATTTTATTGCCTAACGACAAACATTTATATGGCATTGTTTCATCATTATATTGTTATGGGACCTAGTGTTTGGTTCACCAAATGTTTTTTTTGGCCGGCGTCTGGTGGCAAGTAACTGTTACTAAGGCGCCAGCAAAAATTATGAAAATTATATTTGGAGTCTTGTGAACATATATTATAACAAATATATTAGTTTTTATTTTTGTTTATTTTAATTTTCATTTAATAAGAAAAAGCATTTTTTTGGACATATTTTATTTCGGACCAGGTAAACTCATGAACAGATGAAAACTGTTCCAAATATGTATTTTTATATTATTAAGATATCAAACTAAGTTACAAAAATAAAAAACACTGAATTAATTACTTTTATATATTTTTAAATAATTTTCAAAGTTAGCCGTGTGGTGTACCACACGGAGGTACGAAATGGGTTAATCACTTACACCTTAAAGGACAAAAGCAATACTCTGTAGTGTTTATTTTAATTTTTAAGTGATGATTAAGTGATAAATAAAATTTTATGAAGTAGTCCAAAATTGATATATGTAATATTTTCAAAGTAAGATCCGTAGAACTGATCCTCTTTAATTATAACATTTCGAAACAAATACTCTTTCTCTATTCAATTCATGTACCTATTTAACTCATATATCATAAACTATTTATATATTATATTATAACAAAGTTTTTAAGTACATTGTGAAATTAACTTTATTCCCACGTTTTAAATTAATAAACCTTAAAATAATAAGTAATATAAGCAATAAAAGTAAATCTAATAATAAATTCAAAATTAAAATATAAATAGAAAATCTTTTTTTCAAAAAAATATTTCGCCTCAAGACAAAAATTAATGCTTGTTTTTATATTTCTATGTTTTTGGTTCTGTTTGTGCTTGCTTTAACAGAAAGTAAAATTTTCTCTTAATGTTACATTAATAAAATGTATTGCGTTGGGGAAAATTTCTTAATTACTAAAGCATTTCATTAAGAAGATTTATCATTTTAAATTAAATTAAGTGTAGTATTAGTATTTTTGGTATTTTCTTTATTAATAATTTTAAAACATACAATAATAATCCATATTTTATACATTATTTATTTAAAGCTATGACCTAATGTTGTCAGCTTGACCTAGCGATTGCCTACTCTTTTTATACCTCTAGTCTTCTAGAGAGTTTAATGTTGTAATTAGTAACTATTGTTGTTATCCATACATAGGTGCATCTAAAAGATCTCGTCTATAATTTGTTGTCCATATTTTAAGGCTTGTGAAAGATACGCGCATAAATTCAGCCAGTCCATTCCAGTCATACTTGTATTTTATTTCCTTTAAAATTAAGTAGATTGCGATAAAGTGAGTAACGATTTCCGTTTTCTGCTTATTACATAGGCTACAAATGGATAGTGCAGAACTTACTTAGGGCATGCAATTGAGGTTGAGGCAAAAACATAGAAATAGAACGACATGTAATTTGCCTTTGTTAAAAAAATCTTGAATTCTAAAAAGGTACACGCAATGCGGGAAACATGTCTGTTCAAATGTATAAACACTCGAATTTATTATTATATGAATAATCACTAATAATGATTTGTTAGCATAATCAGCAATCAAATTAATATCGTATACAACATATTTTCCATAGGCAAAACCATATAGAAAAACTGTAATATCAAAGCAAATGCCGACTAGCTTCTAGTTCATGCGTAAGAAGGGAGCCAAAGACGAAGTAAAGTTTGTTTTGTATACCAGGGTAAGGAATCATTTTTGTTAAATGTGATAATTGGATTTGTTTATGTACATTCTTGTACAAAGCCAGTCATATATTTTAAGAAAGAAAAATCGCGAGCACCACTCTACTATTGAACAAGTAAATAGAGTCAACAACTTCGCAAGACTTGCATTGGAAAATAAAGAATACTGCACAGCAGCTTTTATCGACATAACACAAGCATTCGATAAAGTATGGCACACCGGACTTCTCTACAAATTGAAGTTACAACTCCCGCATAGCTACTTCTCTATCTTAAAATCATACATACTAGATCGGCATTTTATGGTTAAAATGAATAGCTGTCACACTGAACTATTTCCGATAGAGGTTGGAGTTCCTCAAGGAAGTGTGTTGGGTCCTGCTCTATATACACTGTTCACAGCAGATCTCCTACTCAGCGCTGAAACGTACACTGCAACATTTGCAGATGATACTGTAGTGATGGCGAACGAAGTCCCTTAGCAACACAAAGCCAAAAACAGCTACAGGCCGAAAACAATTCAAACTCAATTGAAAAAAACTACGACACTTGTTTAAACCAAAAACTAGGTAATATATCTCACTCTTGGAGTGAACAATGCCGTACCCCACTGATAAGCTCACCTCATACGCTCACGCTGGGACTCTCCCCAACAAATCTAATAGCACATTCCTGCTCAACATCAACATGTACTACAAATAGCGTCACAGTATGCACTGCAAACTCAATAACTAACACCTTGAGTTCTACATCAACTCAGATATCCGTTTCGTCTACTCATGCCTTATCTTTATTCCCAACAACTTCGGTAAGTTCAATCGCTAATATATCAGACAATATACTGAACGAAATGCCTACTACATCAAATTGCGCTATGTTCTCGACACCTGTGCACAAAGAGCAGAACAGCCAAAAAACTTTCAAAGTACATACTCAATCGAAGGGAAACTCAAGAGAAAACTCATTAAGCAACTCTTCAATACAAAAAATTAATCTTCCAAAAGAAAGTCAGAAAAGAACTCGTTCAAGTCCTGAAATTCGTCGTTCAAAAAATGCTGAACAAACTAAAAAACAAGCTAAATTAGATAGTTACTGGCTAGACAATCCAAGCCGTTCCGCAAATAGATTTTCAGTACTAGAAACAGAAGAGGAAAAAGTTGAAGAAGTGACACAACATGGCGAAAAGCAGCCCAAACCTCCACCAATATTCGTAGGTAGGGTGAATAACATAAATCCTCTCATAAATCTTTTGTCCTCACAAATAGAAAAGAATTTTGAGCTAAAAGTTTTAAACAACGAAAAGGTAAAAATCCAAGCAAAAACAACTGAGTCTTATGTTACAATAGTAAAGCAACTCGAATCGAAAAAAACCGAATTTTATACCTACAAGCCTAAAGATGAACGAAATTTTCAAGCTATCTTGAGAAACATGCATTCGTCTGTCAATACTGAGGACATTAAAACAGCTCTGGCGGAAATAGGCCATAAAGCTCTAAACGTGTTCAATATGAAACACAGAGAATCGAAAAAACCACTTCCTCTCTTCATTGTAGAACTTGAGCCTCAACAAAATAACAAGGAGATCTACAGCATAAAGAATTTGATGCATAGTCGAGTCACGTTTGAGCCTCCTCGTCCTAAACGAGACATTCCTCAGTGTAGTAACTGCCAAGACTATGGCCACACGAAAAGTTATTGTCGAAGACATCCGAGGTGCATCAAATGTGCAAAAAACCATTCTTCGTCTCAATGTCCAATCCAAGGAAGAAGTACTGAAGTCAAATGCGTATTATGCGAAGGAAACCATCCTGCAAATTATAAAGGTTGTTCGATTTATAAGCAGCTACAAACCGCGAAATTTCCAACACTAAAACCTAAACCAACAACAACTACAAACAAAGAAACTGACGAAGAAAAAGACAAAGTTTCTATCCCAAGGGATCCCAAAAGAAGTTATGCTAGTGTGCTAGTGGAACAATCACCTAAATCTCTTACTATTCCTAAATCTCCAGATACCATGAGCGAAGTTCTAATAGTAGTTAAGCAAAATTTGAACAAATCACTACGTTAATGAATGTTCTTGTCACGCTGACGACTAAATTATGTCCGACAGTGAATTAAATATAATGCTCTGGAATGCGAATGGGCTGTCAAAACACTGTTTAGAGCTACAAGAATTTTTAAAAGATCAAAAAGTAGACATCATGCTAATATCTGAAACACGTTTTACTTTACATTATTTTAAAGTACCAGGCTATGACTTTTACCACACTATGCATCCCGATGGAACAGCTCATGGGGGAAGTGGCATTTTAGTTAAAACAAATATATTACACTTTGAAATGCAACAATACCGCACTGAAGAGATTCAAGCAACCAGCATATCAACAAAAGATTGGTGTGGCTCAATCACAATAACATCAGTGTACTGTCCACCAAAACACGCAACTAAGACGGCAACATATAAAAAATTCTTCAGAACCTTAGGTAACAGATTTATTGCGGGGGGAGATTTTAATGCTAAACACGTTGAATGGGGCTCTCGGCTTTCAACACCCAAAGGACGACAGATGCTTGCGGCTATAAGAAGCGAAAACCTTACAACTATCTCGTCTGGAGAACCAACTTATTGGCTCACGGATCCCAAAAAAATGCCAGACTTGTTAGACTTTTGTGTTACTAAAGGAGTGCGACAAAACGACACGTTCTGTAAATCTAGCTTTGATCTTTCATCAGATCACTCGCCAGTATTATTACGGATAAAATCGAATATACAACTTAAAGTTCAAAACTGTTATCTGCACAACAAATTAACCAACTGGGATGCCTTTAGGCATACACTTAAGGCATTACTTGATGAAAAAATGGCGCTTAAAACAGACGAAGAAATTGCGCCTGCAACCGAACATTTTATAAGGAGTATTCAACAATCAGCCTGGAGATTCACGCCTTCACACATGCAACAATTCGCCACACCATTATGTAGTATGACTCAAGAACTTATAAGAGCAAAAAGAGCAGCGAGAAGGCGCTGGCAACAAACCAAATCTACAAAAGATAAAAAACTTTTTAATGTGCTGATCAAAAATCTAAAAGAACATCTGAAAACAACCAGAAATTTGGAAATACAAAGAAATCTCCAAAGACTAGATGCAACTACTTCCACCAACTACTCTCTCTGGCGAGCAATCAAGAAACAGACATCAACGCTATGACCTAATTACTTCAAAAATATTACAGGAGTTACCGGATGAAGCAATAGTACTGCTGCGAAACATTTTTAATTCTATTGTCACAAAAGGCTTTATCCCTCCCCAATTCAAGGTAGTTCAAATTACCATGATACTCAAACCTGGGAAAACGGCAAAAGATGTTAAGTCATATAGACCAATTAGTCTTCTACCGGTTATGTCAAAGTTGTTAGAAAATTTATTTCTTACCAGATTAATGCCTATTGTCAATAGAAGGAGACTAATTCCGGAATATCAATTTGGTTTTAGAAAAAAACACAGTACAATAGAGCAAGTACACAGAGTGGTTAATGTTATACACACAGCATTTGACAAAAGGAAGTACTGCACAGCAGCATTTCTGGACATATCCCAGGCATTTGATAAAGTTTGGCATAACGGCCTATTGTTTAAACTTAAAAAGATGCTCCCAACTAATTACTATATTTTCTTAAACTCTTACATGGAATCACGATATTTCTTTGTAAAACAGGGGGGTGAAATATCAACTTTGCAACCAATTCAGGCTGGAGTGCCACAAGGCAGTGTCTTGGGACCAGTGTTATACTTACCCTTCACTAACGACTTGTCTACCACCGTTGGTACTGAGATTGGAACTATTGCCGATGATACTGTGGTAATTGCTACAGACGAAAATCACCAGTTAGCATCCAACAAACTCCAGCGAGCGCTAGATAACATTTCACAGTGGCTTAAAACCTGGAGACTAAAAGCAAATGAGACTAAGTCTTCACAAATAACCTTTACAATGAGAAGGAAAAATTGCCCACCGGTACGCCTTAACGATATTTTAATCCCTCAATCTACCCAAGTGAAATATTTAGGAATACACTTTGACACAAAACTTACTTGGAAGCACCATATTTTTACCAAAAGAAAAGCATTTGGCATCAGAATGCGGGAGCTCTACTGGATACTAAACAAAAGTTCAAAGCTTTCCGTGGAAAATAAACTTCTTATCTACAAAGCGATACTCAAACCAATCTGGACATATGTTATTGAACTATGGGGAACTGCTGCATCTTCAAATATTGAGATTATCCAACATTTTCAATCAAAAACCCTTAGATTAATCTTAGATGCTCCTAGATATATAACAAATGAATGTATACATCGCGATCTCAACGTTCCGGTAGTTAAGGATGTCATAAAAAGCCAAGCCAGTAAACACAAAAAACGTATGTTACATCATCCCAACCACTTTATGAGTAGAATTATAGCAGAAGGAAGAACGTTCACACGCCTCCGCAAACAAACGCCATTGGAACTTTAATGTGTCCGACTTCAACAGACGGATGTGCTACTGAGCTCAGTCCATTCAAGCTCAAAATGGACTTTTAAGTATTAGGATTGTATTTTGACCGTCGTCTAAATTGGCGTCACCACATCTTTACAAAACGAAAGCAGTTAGGACTAAAGCTACCCTCCCTTTACTGTTTACTTAATCCCAAATTCAAGTTGTCGCTACAAAATAAAATACTTTTATACAAGGTCGTCTTAAAGCCAATCTGGACATACGGTATACCCATCTGGGGTATAGCAGCGAACTCAAATCTAGATATGTTTCAAAGATTTCAATCAAAAATATTACGTATCTGGGCCGACGCCCCATGGTTTATTCCGAATGACGTCCTACATCATGATCTTGGCATCTCTACAGTGTTCGAGTTAATATAGCAGATAAGCAGCAAGTATCACTTACGACTGGCAGTTCACCCCCTTGCCACAGACCTGACGAGGGATACTTTCAACAATCGTAGACTAATACGCTTCACAACTTCTGATTTGCCGAGTAGATTCTAGAAATTGTAATTCTTCATAATGCGGTGATTACCAATGGGTAGTCCCGTACTTGTCAGTCAAATATTGTTATTGTCATAAGTAGTACTTATTATTCATGCATAGAATAGATTGTACATAATAAAATTAAATTAAAAAAAAAATATTTAACATTAAAATAATTCGATGTCCCCAGATTGTAAGTTAACTCCTTAATTTTTGTATGGATTAGCTTGTTTTGGTCTTATAAACAAATCGTTCTCTTTTAACTTGATCCTGTTTCATTAGAATGCGCTGCAGTCAGTCAATCCAACTTTTCATGTGTTCTAAATTCAGATTTTCTTCATGCTCCTCAGCTAAATTTAACCATGCCGCCAAAAGCAAACTCCTTTTACCTAAAAAGTATGACATAAGCTGATTAGTGAGCTATCTGGTTGGCTTATAACAGCGTTAATATAGTGAAAGTGTGCTTTTAAATTGCCAATATATAGTGTTGATAAGCCAGTTTTCAGATAAATTACGTAGTCTGACGTGTTGGTCGGTAGACGAAAAATACGTTTGATAAAATAAGTAAGCAGTTTTTTACCTCATCATACCTTTCACAATCCCAAACTTGGGATGCATAATTTAAAACTGAGTTAATCGCAGCTTGAAAAACTTTGTACTTAACTGAAGTTGCTATCTTGTCGCTTCTTAAAACGCTTCTCCATGTGATGTTACTTGCTGGTTTTAAATCTTTTAGCCTTTTATTAATATGTGTTTTGAATGTTGCATACCACTTTTCATCGTATTCAAGCCGCCTTGCATGTTTTTAAAAATAATATCTATTTTTGACTATATTGACTTCTAAATTCCAGGTATTACAGTACTCGCTCAGTATATTTATCATCAGCTGCATCGCTGTTGGTGATTCTGCAAACAGTACCACATCCTCTGCATACATGAGAACCTTTGCATACCATCAATCATTATACCACCATTTTAAAAGTTAACCAGATCATCTTAAAGTAATGTAAATAAAAGAGGACTGTAAACACAGCCTTGTTTAACACCAGACTGCGTAAGAAACCAATCAGAAATAATATTTCCATCCCACACTGATGCTTTACTGCCGTAGAACAAGCTTCATTTAATCCGCATCATTTTTGATGCCAATCCTAAGTTCTCAAGCTTATAAATAAGCGCACTTCGAAATATTAAATCGAATGTCGCCTTGAAATCTACGAAGAAGACATATAGTTTTTTGTTTTTGACTATATACATTTTTGCAATAATGGTTACAAAATATATGTTATCCATAGTTTTTCCTGAAACCTGCTTGAAATTCACTTACAGGTTCGGTTTTCCACCCATCCAAAATATGCATTCGTGCCAAATACTTTCGCAATGGTATTGTTGAAAGATATACCTCTATAATTTTCTGGATTTTTCGTGTGGCCTTTTTTGTACAATGGAAAGATAATCGAGTTGCCAAAATAATCAGGTACATTGGCATATTTAAGAAATTTCATGGGTGCTCTGACCAGGCCAAAAAGGTCACATTTTTTGTTGATATTCAGACATGAGAATTCCAGGTCTTGAGAGTCTCAGGTAGGTAAAATGAGCAACAAACAATGTGGTCTGTCTTTCTTACTGGGGTATCCACATCTTTAATAGTTGCTACCTGGTCCTTATTGGTCTGCTGTGGAGTAATGAAAGCATTAATACTATTTCTTACCAAAATATAACTTTGAGGTCACATAGACACATGGACACAATCTTTTCATATGTGAGGCGCTGTGTCAAAACGGCCGTAGTAGCTTTGGCGTGTTGGAGATTGACCTGCAGACGCCTCACCATTTTTATTTTTTTCATCTCTTGTCGATCAGCATGCATGCTTTTGAAGGACTAGGTCCTTAACCTTTTGGATGGAGGCACCTGTGATTTAAATTCACTGGGATTCTCTGTCACTGCGAGAACTGAGAATTGCACTGCCATCCGCTAAAGTACCAACGACGTGATTTGGGAATAGTGAGAGATCAGCTACGTAGATTATGTACAAGAACGGCCCCAGTACACTTCCTTGAAGAACACCAACCATTATATTTTGAGCTGAAAGTATTATACTTCAATCCTAATCTTTTGGAGAATAAATATGAGTACAATAGCTAATGCATATTTTCAGGAAGGTGATGTGTTATTTTATTCATCACACCTTCATGCCAAAGTTTATGAAAAGCTCGAGCTGCATCCCAGAAAACGGAGGAACATTATCTATTGTGTTAATTATTAATTTGTTAGCTGTATGTCGAGTTTTGAGGAAGTGACATTCTAGAATTCTAAATCCTTTTCCTTCGAGGTCCTCTTTAAAAATTGACGGAGGTTACCCTAGCAATTAGCAACGACCCAAAGGAAAGAGGCGTTACAGTGTCATGTCCTGTTTGAAACCCAAATTTATGATTTGAAATTACAGTGGATTGAGATATTATAGGCATAACATTTGACAGCAGTATATTCTCAAAGATTGTAGATAACTGGGACAAAAGACTTATTGGTTTATATGATTAAGCCAAAGCTTATATTATTTCCTGGTTTGGAATAATTTTTATTTCTGAAAGTTTCCATTGCTTCAGATAGTAGCCAAAAACGAGGATGCTGTTAAAGATCACAGTTAGAAAGCATTTTGCTGAATCAGGTAATTTCTGAAACATTTTACCTGAACTTTGATACTATCTAGGTGCTTTTTTTGGACTTGCAAAGGTTCGGATAGTCTCCTTGACGTCATCCAAGCGCAATGTAAGCGAAATTCCAAAAATAGAAGGAGATTTAATACTAGGTTGGAAATTTATTATTTGTGGGTTTGGCCGAAAGATTCGCTTTAGATGTTCCGCTAAAATATAACCTTTTCGTCACTGCGAGCTTAAGAATCACTCGGTTTACTAAGCGATGGGTCCTTTTGTATTTGTGTTTTAAGATTCTTCGTTGCCTTGTTTTCCCTAAGTGGGTCAAGAGCCTGAGATATTTTGTAGAGACCTGTCATCAGATAGGGCTTTTTTAAAATGTTTTGAAGTTTTATTTAATCTCGGAGACTTTACCATTCACGCTTGGCTTGTCGTTTTCGGAAACAGCCTTGAACAAACAGCCATAGTGTTAAGAGATGTAATATTATATTTAACCCTTCGTGAGGCTCATTTTTAATTGCTGCGGAGTCAATTTCTGTACTTTTCCAATGCGGACCAAATTGCATTTTTTGTCCAACGCCAGCAACTAGTCGAGTAATCCATAGATATAGTCGAGGTATCCATAGGTGATACCTCGACTACGCAATGTTCCTCATACAATTTAGTATGGAATCAAGGACGACGTCAATATATTTAGTCTTCGAGAAAAGATTTAGCGCAATTTCATCCAGTCTAGGTAAAGTAAAAGTAGGTATTTTGGTTTTCCGCGTAAACAGAACAAGCTCGGTCTTAGTATGATAAACCCCTAACCCGTTACTTTTAGCCCACACGAAAGCTCATGCCGATTCCATGAGCTCACTAATCGTTGACAAGTATTTGTCAACGGCAACAACCTTTGCAACATCCGCATCACTGTCCACGAAGTACTTCATCAGACCGAGCGAGGCTAAGGTGGAGTGGTGGAAATTAATTTAAACTATATCCAGCATATATACGCTGGTTTAGGGAATGTCACCTTCCTTAAATACCATTCAGTTGTATCCAGCGACTGATTTTGCCGTGTGATAAGTTCCAGTATGATATGCTTGTCAAGAACTGCAGTTGGAATGTATACAAAAGCGATCGGTCGTACAGGAAGCTGAGGACGCCGAATTATTTCAGATTGAGCTCTATCAGAGTACGTCTAAGCTGTCGATCGTGCGCTTTACGAAATCCAAGGTTTTCTTGTTGCCGTAATCAACAACATTAATACCTCCCTCCCTGGGAGCTCTGAGGAGGATCAAGTAATAGTTTCTCGATCTATGGATTGATGTAATCGATGTTGCTAATCTGAGATATCGAGTCATTATCGGTGGCTGCATCAATATTTTTTATTTTATTTTATTTTAAAATTGCGCTAAGGGAGAAAAAACCTTTTTGTTGCATCATCTAACAATTAACTTAAAAACAAACAAAAAAAAAAGAGATAAATAAAATATACACAATAAAGAATAATTTACAAATTATTAAATAATAAAGCAAAAAAAAAAAAAAAAAAATATGAAAAAAAAAATTAAATTAAAAATGAAAAATTAGGATTAAGAATTTAGAACTGATAATTAAATATTGTAAACAGAAAATATTTTAAAAAAATAACAATTAAAAAATAATAATTAAGTAATAGATTTAAGTGTCAGAACGAGTGATGTCAAGATCCAATTTGATCTCTCTCAACCAAGGCTTCTTACCTATCCAAAGTTGGCTTGGAGACCACGCCCTGTCCAATGTTGTTGAAATCTGGATTGGAATCTGAGATAGATGGATTAGAATTGGAATTCGAATCAGAATTAAAAGAGAGGTCACAGTGACCCGACGCCTGGTGTTCCAATCGCTCGACATCTACCGTCGGTACTGGAGAACCGACTCCCTACACCGTAACTTTAAAATATTTAGATTACATTAATCATACAAAAACACCTTCTCCCTGTGATATTTCTACGAATCACTGGTGGGGACATTAATTGATATTTAATATATTTAAATATATGTCAAGTATAAAGTAATTAGTATTAATTAATATACAAAAATCAATCAAACCAAAAAAGAAAACGCCAAACGCACTTACCTTGAGCTATTAATATTCAATATGAATTCAAGCGATTCATAACTTTGCCCATAAGAGAACGAAAAGGTGTTGAGATAATTAATACGAGGGCGGTTTGATAAGTCAGTGACTTTTTGAATAAAACAAATTTTTTTCGGCAAATAAACATTTTATTTTTCTACATAATCACCTTTCAGCTCGATACATTTAGTCCAGCGTTTTACTAATTTTCTTATTCCCTTCAAATAATAGGTTTTCTCAAAGCTCTCAAAATACGCGATTGTTTCGGTAATGACTTCTTTATTCGACTCAAATCCCTTACCGCCCAACCATTTCTTTAGATTTGGAAACAGATTTAGTCGCAGGGGGCTAAATGTGGAGTATATGCTGGATGGGGTAGCAGTTCGTATCCCAATTCGTGGATTTTGGCCATCGTGATTAGACAAGTGTGCACAATGCTGTTCTCGCATTGTCTCGATAGAACAGTACTTTCGTCTTCGTCATATGCGGCCATTTTTGCTTTGAATCAACGTCGAATCTGTTCAAAAGCTTTGAATAATATTCGCCGGTGATCGTTTTACCTTTCTCGTGGTAATCGATGTGAATGATACCGCTTGCATCCCAAAAAACTGTGGCCATGACCTTGTTGGTTGACAGACTCTGTTTGGCCTTCTTTGGTCCACGTTCATCCCTAGCAACCCACTGTTTCAATTGTTCCTTGGTCTCTGGCGTGTTGTGATGGATCCATGTTTCGTCCACAGTAACAAAACGGCGCAAAAATTCGTTCGGATTACGGCTAAACATCGCTAAACACTCTTCTGAAGTGGTCACATGCTTACGCTTATGGTCGAGTGTGAGCAATCGCACTCATCTCGCGGAGAGTTTTTTCATGTCCAAATATTCGTGTAAAATATGATGTACCCATTCAGTTGAGATACCTACAGCATTAGCCAACTCACGCACTTTCATTCTCCGATCATCCAATATCATTTCATGGATTTTATCGACGATTTCCGGCGTGATCACTTCTTTTGGGCGACCTGAACGTTCGGCGTCACTAGTGCCGGTACGACCACAACGGAACTCTGTAAACCACTAAAAGGAACAGATATTACATTTAACTAAACTAGTAAAAATTTTCAAATTCAATGTTTAAATGAATAAGACAATTTTATTTGGTTTATTATTTTTACTAGCAATTATTTTTCCTTTAAACACTTTTCTCTTCTCCACATTTCTTAGTATTTTAATATATTTATTCAATTAAAATTAATAATATTGCTTATACATTATAATTACAGGGCTGATGAAAATGAAATAAATTATCGAGAAGAAGGCGGATATGAAAAATATTTACTTAATAATATAAATTATAGCAACAATGGTGTTTTACAAAAAGATTTACTTTTAAATGAAATTCACCAAAATATAAAAAGACACATAAAAAATTCTAATATTCTTGATACAGATTTGTTGCAAAATACTATATTGCAGAATGAAGCTAACAATCTGAGCAGTGCTAATAATATTTTTCTGGAGAGTAGCAATAATATATTTCACAGTAATTTTAGGATTAATCGAGAAAATAATAGATCTGACATATTTGAAAAAAAGATTGCTTTGACTTCAAAGAACAAGCAAAATATATTTAAAATTAAATATTGTAAAATTAATAACACAAGGAGTAGAATACAAATTTTTGAAGAAGAAAAAAATAGTAGCAGTCATAGTAGCAACAGCAGTAGCAGTTGCGATGTCACTGGTGACAACAGTGCTGTAAATGGATTTGGTGTTGGTGATATTTTTAACATATACAATAACGACTATGCTATGCCAAGCTCACTAAAATCATCTTTTAATACATCAAATAATTTTCTTGATTCTACAGTTATAAAAGGAATTAAATCTAGTTATTCAAATGGCAAAATTTTAAGTAAATATAATATAGAAACTTCTAAGGACGACACAGATGATTTTATTGACAAAGTGGTACAAAAAAAGAATGATATTATAACTATTAAAACCTCTAATGTAAACAACGCACATATTCAACCAATTTTATCGGAAGCATATGTCTATAATTATTTTAAAGACATAAATACAGAAAATAATATTTGTGTACAAAATAGTTCTGAAGCACTACTAGCACAACCTGGCGCAGATTTAAGTGACTTTCGTTTGAAAGTAAACAGTAAATTTGAAAAAGTCAGTAACCTTAATTTCTTGAAGAGTAATTTAAAAACATCAAATAATTCTTTTGCTTGTATGGAGAATACGGAACGTGACCATTTATACTCCAATGCAATTAATGAATCATGTAATATGGAAGGTGACATAAATAGTAACATTCATGGTAAGTATATTGTTGTAATTGTAATTCTTTGTATCAACACTTTTATTGCTGTTAATATTACTTCACAATTATCAAACTATTTTACAAACTATCCAAAATTATAGAATTTGTTTTTTTAGTATAAAATTACTTCTGTCAATATTGATTTCTTCAATGTATACTGCGTTATCACCACAATATTATAGACAAATTGAACAATGAGGTTCAGTATAACTCTATATAATGTTTTTACTACTGGTGATGGGAAACAATATACATTGTGACCGAAAAGTTTTCGGAAATTCTCATTTAAAATTCGCGCGCTGTATATTTTTCGATATTTTAAGTTTATGTTGTTATGCAGCACTGTCCTAATTACTATGCCAAAAATGAAGCGCGATCTGTCAGACAGTTCGTTTACGCGGGTTGAAAACGTTCACCTCAGTAGTGCGTTGCGAAAAAAACAATGGAAAAAAATATTGATCAAAGAGTTTGCATCAAATTTTGTGTTTCGAACGAATTTTCGTGTGCAGAATCTTTGCGAATGCTACAAAAGGCTTATGGGGAATCAGTTTTATCGAAAACTCAAGTTTATGAGTGGTACAAAGCCTTTCAGGACTGTCGTACGACCGTCGAAGACATGCCGCGTTCTGGACGACCTTCGACCTCTACCCCCGACGAAAACATTGAAAAGGCAAAGGAAATCGTGTTCAAAAATCCTCATGTGAGTGTTAGAGAGATAGCACGAGAGCTAGGCATCGGTCGTGAGATGGCTCGTTTGATTTTGGTGGACAATTTGTGTATGCGACGTGTCAACGCTCGGCTTTTTCCGATTCACCTCAATTTGTTCCAAAAACACCATCGTGGACAGGTCTCGTTAGACATGCTTGATCGTGCCAATTCCGATCCAACTTTCATGGAACGCATCATAACGGGTGACGAGACATGGGTCTACGAGTACGACATGCAAACAAGCCAACAATCATCGGAATGGAGAGGAAAAGACGAGCCGAAACCGAAAAAACCACGCCAAAGTCGCTCGAAAATCAAGGCAATGCTGATTGTTTTCTTCGATATTCGTGGTGTGGTGCATCATGAATTCGTCCCTGAAGGACAAACAGT